GACTATGTTTCGTCACCGTTTCAAGCAGGTTAAGGGTGAAGAGTGTGGTAGATGGTTGCGCGGCTTCATTCGCTTCCTGCCTCCAGTCACCCTCCCTGCTCCAATCTGTCTGGTGCACGCGGTGAATTTCATCGAAATCGATGGTCGAACAATAAAATTCCCGCACAGTCTGAATTATGAATTATAGAAAACTTATGCTCATCAACTTTGACGTTTTCAATGTTTAACTTGGTACCATTGCAGAATGGACCAGTTAGGCCAAAACGTCTCTTTCTCGCCCTCCCTCCCTCCTCAGCCAACCAAATTACTTACGAAAGGAAGGAAGACAGGAGTTGTTTATAGACATATACCTAAACACATTCAAAGTTTAACAAGTACAGAAACGTCCTACTGGGTCTTTCAGATTGGCATCCCAGACGTAAGTAGCTCGGGGGGACAAAAAGAAAAAAAGCAGAAGAAACGTGTATGAAGGCGGGAGAGGGAGGTAGAGAATCGAGAAAACGACACCGGAGCGGATCAATGGTTTCTAGCTGGTGGTGGCGAGAGAACGGAGGAAGGTAGAGGCATCGGCGTAGTCACGTTGTGCGATCTTCGAGTTGATTTCCACAGATTCAAGAGCCTGGTTCACCGCACGCACACAGGACACCGGGTGGGTGTCAAAGAATGTCTGCAAAAGAACAAACACGAAGATATACATTCAGAGGATAAAGAGAGAGAGTCACACTTAAAACAGTCTTCTGGGGTCAGAGTGCCCAACTATAAGGGTGATTGAGTAACAAAGGTCGGAAAATGGTCTAGCAGGCTTATGTACTACAGCCTCTTCAAAAGGGATGGGATAAACAATTTTATTAGGCTTACTCATTAAAAACGACAGAACCAAAACATATTTTTTTCTCTGACAGCAGGATGGTATTTAATCAAACAGGCTAATAGAGCAAGCTTACTTTAACTTCGGTGTGTCTGTTCATATTGCAGAAGTCGGAACAGCTCCCCTATAAAAAAAGACACACAGAAAAGAGCATTTTAACGAAATGATAGAGCAGGCGTGCGGTTGTGTTCGACTAGAGACAGAAGCATGGAGAAGGATAAATTAACACTTAACAAGTACAGTAGTCGCCGGCTATTAAGCCCAAGGCTAATAAGCCCAGCCGCGTATT